TGCAATCCGGCTTCTTTAATGCTTCACTCCAGCACTTCATACGCTCGTCTACGTAGGGCCTGTTTTACAAGCCCTCTCCTCCCTCTGATTTTGTTCATAATAAAACTGGAGAATGCCTTGGGATGCAGAGCGAGAGCTGGCCAACATCAATGTTTTTCTACTGCCATCTTATGGAATTACAAGTGAATAATAATTTCCAGGGCAGTGTTAACAACCTGAAGATACCATCCATCCTGGTAGCTAGTTTTTAAGATGGAGGGAGCCTCACTGGTGGGTGAGAACTGCCATTTTATCACAGATTCTCAAAGCCCCTCCACATCAGTGAAATGCTAAGAGCACTCTGCAACTAGACACACGAAGTTAGGGTAGATTTGCACCTTGTAGACTAACTAAACATTTCAGTGATGAACTGGGGCCCGTCAGGCTTCTTGGTGTTTTGGAGATAATAGGAGCATGTAGCCTTCCTATTCCTGTCTAGGTTAATGCAATCCCTTGCACGCTTTGCCCAGCAAACCTAACAAGCTCTCTGGCAAAGTGCTTTAAAGCTCAATTTCCATGCACCATGAAAAAGGATAATGAAAAGACTGTATAGCATCTTAAAAGAAATTAATTTGCCTTTCAGATGCTGGAGCCAAGCTTCCCCAGTAGCGAGAAGGGATTAACATCAATGTGAACAGTTGGGTCTGATCACTACAGACTGCTTGCAATGCATGCCCCACTGTCTCCCTCTCATCTTCAACCTGATCACCATAAAGTATGCATGTGAAAGGAGCATGCGATCCTGGGGAAAGAAATGCACCTCCTCAAAGCTGGATATGCAGTGTCACTGGTGAAGCATCACATTTGAAGGAAGAAATTTAAATCAGCAACATATAGGGACAGTGACAAAGGTTCATTAAGGAACCAGCCATCTGCAATACTCATCTGTCACCATGAAAATCACAGAACCACAGTGCTCTTGCCAAAAAGAGGGGCGATGTTGAAACAGCAGGTTCAGGAAAGAAAAAAAAACCCCGGTGACATCATGAAAATACCGTTTTCCTTACTGAACTTGAGAATGCCATTTCTCTACACTTCCTAGAAAAGGAAATGAGGCAACCAAACCCTGTCCAGCACAGATGCTACCTGATGACAACCTCAACTCATAAGAGGGGGGCCCAAAAGGACGGTTGTGGTCCCTTAATCTTCTTCACCATCCCACAGCATGACAGGAAGCGTAGTAAGCATGGCTCAGAGCAGTGAGGTGTACCGATTCATTTAAGACAACAAGAAGCCACATGGAATCATTCACGGGAATACAAAAATGTTTCATAACTGCAAATATTATGATTAACTGTCTTTTGCAAGCAGAAATATCCTTCTGAGCACACAAACCAAAACATGCCCCTGCGCCCACTTGAGCGAGCAAGCACAGTATTTTAAAGATTTCTAATGAGGCAGGCAGGAACCTTCTGCCCTGCAATGTCACAAGGGTCCGATACCATCATGCTTTTCAACAGCACTTAAACTGCTCAGTAGATATGTAGTCAGCTGCTCAGAGTAGCTGTTTCAGTTAGTTCTTTTTTGCTCAGCTAATCATCTAAGTAGAATCTGAACAAGGATATTTACCTGCCTAGTTTCATTGGTTAGCCATGTTTAAGTGTACCTATACAACAAAAATGAGAGTGGTAATTTTTTTTGCTATTGTTTTTAAATGGGAATTTTTATTTTCCCACTCCCGCTCGCTGAGAACTCAAGGACTGGCTAGATTAGACTCAAACTTTCAAAGCAATTAACCTTTGGAAAGAGATCTATCAATAAGTACGTCATTCCTAAAGCTGATTTTTTTTGTTAAATGTTTACAACATAAAAACAAATTACTCACATAAACCTGTTATACAGCCTGAATGATGGTGACTTCTATACAGGCATTTACACTGCTACAAAGAGCTATTTTATGGCAATGCAAGAGAACGTAAAGGCACGAGCACTATTTTAAAAATGCAACCCTGGGACCTCATTTACAAAGCCTGTTTCAAGCAGATGGTCTGTATCATTTGCAGACTGGGCATTAATGAATACAAAAGCATCTCAACTTCCAAGCCCTTCTGCTGCATCCAAGAATGTTCACTGATTCATTACCACCTCGGCCTGAACTGGCCAATGTCTCCCCCAAGAACCAGCCACAACTCCAAGGGCGCTCTCTTCTTACCTCATAATCAAAACTGCTTCCCAGGGCACCGATGTCCATGTGCACATTTTGGAGCAATCCTGCTGTCCCTCGCAGACTCTGTGTGTTTGAAGAAAAGAAACCATCACCGAGTTCTTATCTGGACTCAGTTTTAGACCACATGGGAAGGAATTCTAAACATTGTACCAAGCAGATGTGTGGTAGCAGAACCAGACAGCACAGTGTTGAAACAGCACAATGTTAGAATCCAATTCATTTCAAGATTGCCCTCTGATGGCTAAAGACCCATGGCAGGAAGGTCTGTCATGCAGACAGCCACCCCAGGAGAAAGGAACCTCAGGTGGGCAGGAAGGATTTGACCCTGACATCATCTGCAACTGCCTGTACCCTAAAGCACATGAACAAGGTGCTCAATAAGGCCGAAGACATTTACTTCACTATAGCCCTACAGACAAAATGGGGTTAGATGCCCTAGAAGGGGCAAGGCAAGCTTGACAAAAGCTTGAATCGGCAGGGGTCATTGCAGGACTCCTGGCACGGCTATACAAGCGCTCATGGATCTCTGGTCAGGTGCCGGGTGACTGGAAAAAGGCCAATGTGATCCCCATTTACAAGAAAGGGAGGAAGGAAGACCCAGGTAACTACAGACCTGTCAGTCTTACCACAGTCCTGGGGAAGATCTTTGAGAAAATTATCAAGGAGCACATCTGCGAGGGACCAACAGGGGAGATCATGACCCCAGCATCCGTTCCTACCCAAGGCAGGGGGGCGGACTTGATGATCTGTTTAGGTCCCTTCTGACCCTAGCTATGATACTATGATACACCTAGAGGTTTTGGAGCAACTGGCTGTTCCATGCTGCTAGTCCCCCCTCAGTGATGGCCTATCATTGTATATTCCACAGGAATTCCCTGTACCATTCACAAAATAATGCACAGACCCAGTGCACTTCACACATCTCACTACCTGATTCTCACTCTCTTCGTCTTCATTTTCTCCTGCATCTAGAGTCATGAGATTTAAGAAGTCCTTCTTCTCGTGGATGAATCCCAGCAGGCTCTTGGCTTGGCCAGTGGCTTTAAGGGTCTGTGCGGGCTGCAAAGTCAAAAAACAAATGAAACTTAGAGAAGACAGGCATCCACACAGGCTTCTTGAAGCATGGCAACCCAGTCAGCAGCACACCACCAAAAAGCTACAGATTAACTTAACTGTCCGAAGAACACTTGTTTTGCAAAGGCACCGTGAACAGACCCTAACTGGCTACTGATGTGGCAGTTTCCTTCAGGCTGCACTTTTAATTAGGGCAAGGATTCCCTCCCATGCCAGAATCTTCTTGCCCTCCACAGATATTAGTTCAACAGAACAATTTGAAAGTGATTTTCCTCCCATTTTCTCAGAGATGGATTTGAAGCTCTTGGAAGGTGGGAGATTAATAGCTCAAGGGACCAGGGAGGGTTGATTTAAATTGGCAACTTTAATCAGCTTAGAAATCAGCAAGCAGGAAACCCTGATTTAAGGCTTTGATTTTTATCTCATTTTCATTTGAACTTTTGCTATGTTCTGCTTTTGTCTGGCAAAATTGGTGCTTGTTCTTGTTAGCTGGGAGGATACAATACATGCCCACTTATTGAAACAATGACATGGCATCGTTTATTCAGAGGACTAATTTTTTACAGTTTTATTGACTATTTTATACAGGATTTCTGTCAGGCTGCACATGGACAGAAAGCAGAGCCTCATATGCAGAATCCACAGCTGTCCAGGCTGGTTAAGTATTTCAACCCACCCCACTTCCAGGTGTTTAGCCAGTGATTTCTTCCAGTTCAGTGGCCTAACAGCTAACATGTGCTGCTCAAATTGTCTCTATTCAGTTTACGTGCCATGAATAGAATAGGGCAAGTTTTGGCCTTAACATGGATCGGTTTCAAATTGAATAAGAAATTAAGTTCCTGAAAAATGCACGTAATAGAAATTGCTGGTGATGTATATCCCCTATGCAGCATCTGGGCCTGGAGCACCAGCTACAGCAAAGACTATTTTCCATCCCCTTAACGTGCCTCTTGCTTCCTGCTGTAGAACATCTTTGCTCAGCCTCCATGGCCCTCTCTGCACTGTCCAGAGAGGGGCCGATGTGGACACTCCTGCTAGAACCTGGCTGGGCCCAAGTGACTTTCTTACCAGATGGGGATGTGATGTAATGAGAACCCCTCTGTCCCACTGCCTAAACAAGCCAGCTGTTCTCCAGGACTGGATTTAAAAGAGAACATGTGGGCACTCACAAACCAGGCTGACAGGCACTGATATACAAATGGAGATGGCTAGAAGGCAGGGAAACATTGCAAGCAATCTGTATACGATACATCGCACTGACTGCAGTAGGAGTGTGCCACTTACAGGGGTCCAGGGAAAGAGAGGAAGAGAGTGAGGGGGGAAAAGACACATAGACAGAAACAATATTTCCAAAGATGACAGGACAGAAGCTTCTGAAACAGGAAGCTAGGTGCCACTTCCTAAATAGCCTGCTAGCTGTTGCAACCATTCTTCCAAATGTGGCTCATTGCCACGAATGCAACCCAAAAGGATTTGCAGCTAAGAGGGAGAGTTACCCCAATTCCGCCTCTGATCCCTGGACTGGGCTCCACAAAGTTTCCCACAGCAGCACTGAGTGGGCCACGGAGTGTACCGGCAGGAACATCCACCAGACCACGTAGCGGAGCAAGATTCCCCAGGGGAGCCTGGGCAGGAGCAAGCAGGGAACCTGGAGACTAGGATGGGGACAAGATCAGTGCTGGTCCGTTGAGAGAAAGAACATGCATGACATGTAAATTACGTGCACACCAGAATGAAAATAAATCTCCCTCCCACTTAAACCCTGTCTGCCGACATTTAAACCACCCCCGCCGGAAAGCTGTTCCAAGCAAGTGCAAACACGTCAGATGTATAAGAAACAGCAGGTTGGCTGACTCATGCGTACAGCCCTCCCAAAGGCCACGATGAATGCATGGCTGCTTGTTTTACACTAGCGAGGAGTTTGATTTACAGAGCTAATAGGTAGTACTCCTGAGCTGGAGTTAAGGGATAGGACACAGTCAACATTCACACACAGGCAGAACTACATGTGCAGCCACAAAGAACATCGCACGAATGCCTCAGATGGGGTCAGGATCTCTGTCCTATCGTCATCGAATGCAGCCGGATGGTGCTCCCCCCACTCAGTCCCTCAGCTGCTCTGTACAGTCCCGAGTAAGTGAAGCAGAGGCTAAGGCTCACAGATCAGATTGCTTCAGTAGAGAAAAAATGATTAATGTGTATTTATAACTGGACACTTATTCATTCATGGCAGTTACCACTTTCAGTGAGGATGAACAGAAGGGTTAACAATGCTTCTGCTCTGGGCACAATCTTTCCTCCCATTAGTTCTTCCCATGCCGGCAGTGTCCCACACCAACATCCCACCCACAGGGGAGAAGGACCACAGGGCTGCCTGCAGGAAGCAACAGCAGTCGGGCAGTGGAGCTAATCAACAAGATAGGGCACAGGCTCTGCCTGGCATTGGACTGCTTAGTCCTCCAGTCACCCACATGGGGATCAGACCCCCACTCCCCAAGTGCCACCCTGCAGCACAGTAAGACACGGCAGTCTCACCTAGATGGCCAGAAGCCTCCTGCCCTCCGTCAGCTGCAATGTGCACCTCTGTCTGAGACAGAAGTGAGGCTGCAGTGGCACCTTTAGCTGGAAGGTGAAGCTGTCCAGTGGCAGGCAATTCTGTTGCAGGACTTCACCCAGAGGTTCCTAATGATCTCTGTACTGTACTTAAAGTACAGCCACACTCCCCTCCCCCAAGCAATTCCTCCTCTTCCACGAGAGCAAGAGTGAGTCCCATCAAAGCACTGACATCAAACAGGACAAGCGGGAGGAGAGGCCAAAGGCAAGTGGCCTGATGAGAAGAGGAAAGATTTGAACTACGCTCCGAGGGGTGGTCTGAAGAGCTGCGGCCTGACTCCTGCCACAGAAAGCTCAACTCCGCTCCCCACACAATGGAATTCCTCATCCAACTGTTCGCACCTCACGGTGCATTGCAGCACAAGGTAAGCTGGAGGGGAACGCATGCTGCAGTGATGCCCACAGCATGCCAGCACAGCTCTGTGTCACTGCTGTGACAGAGCATGTGCACTGGTAAATTGGAGCCTCCTGTGCTCTGTGTTTATATAAAATTACAGACTGAAAACACAGTTAATTCACTAGCATGCTGGGGGACGGGGGAAAGGAGAAAGCTGCGCGCTGATCTCTCCTCTGCCGAGCCATCGCCAAATCAGCAGTTATAGGGTAAATTACACATTCTGGGCTTAACTAATTACTGTCTACAGATGGCCATTAACTATGTGTATGGAGCTGTGGATGTTAGTTGTCCTTCAGCAAAGATAAACTCACTTCCATCGGGCTAATTAAAACTTTCAGGATAATCTGCAGTTTATCTGATATTTATAGTCATAGTTATTATCAGCTAACTGAGTGCTACCACATGCTGGTAATTAGAAACTGGAGCTAGCAATTCGGTGGAGTCGCAGCTGGATACCAGCAATAGGGGAGCACAGCAATTCATTACCATTACACACATTGACCTTTTATTTTATTTTATTCCTTCAGAACAAACGATTTGGCAAGTTCTGATTAAACCGAAGCAATTACTTATGAACAAAGAACGAAACAGCCCAGAATGTTCCTCGCAGTGATGTGGCAGATCCTGCTGTATGCAGCAGAGGAAAGCGCCTTGCATTAGACGCTGTGGCCTCAGCCCCAACTCCTCCTGCCCCCCCAGTGGCATACAACATTGTTGTCTAGCTTGCAACAGGGACAACGCTCATTCCCACCACCCGTTGGGGAGAACGAATGAGGACCAAGCACAGACAGCTGCAAGCAAGAGCAAATCAGCTGGGGTGTTTGACATCCAAGATCAAGCATCATCTAGATCCAGAAGCTTCTATGTTTAATTAACGAGGCAATCGTAGCCAAGGACAGATGTCCTAATAGTGGTAGGAAAGGAACAAGGACCCTTTGCATTTGCTGTTTTATCAAGTCAGGAAGACTGAAGAATTTGCTCCGCAGTATTCAGAGCCAAAGGCAGTAGGAAAGCACTGCCCTGCACCCAGTGCATGTTCCCACCTCCCCATGCCAACTGCCAGGCTAGCAGTGGCACGGCTTTGAAGGGCCTCTTGGGTTCCCCAGGAGAAGGGGTGGAAGAAGGATGGGGGGGATGTTCTCAGGCTGGCACCATGCCCTTGCCTCTTTGCTGCTCTTCTTTTCACCGACCCGGCCAGTTTGTCCAACGACCTGGGACACAGGACACCACGAGCAGTGGCGGATGTTAACACTACAGTGTCTCGAGAAGCTACTCATAACGCCTGCCTGGGATCATGGGGCTAGTCCACTCACCCTTTTTTCCCCCAATAATATTTAACAGAATAGATGGCCATGTGGCTGCAGTGCAGGGCTGACTCAGGAGACCGGAGTCTGTGCCTACATCTGCCATAAGCACCTTGTGCAGCTTTACCTGCATCACTTATCTCCTTGGGCCTTGGCCCCTGTCCAGAAAAGGTAATGAGGAAGTGGTTCCATCTCCCCACATTTAGCTGTGCAGTCTGTTTGGACTACAAGTTCCCTAGGAGAGGGAATGTCCCTCACTCTGTTTTTGTGCATCACCTATTCCATAGTTTCATAGATTTAGGGTCGGAAGGGACCTAGTAGATCTTCTAGCCCGACCCCCCGCCAGGGCGGGAGAACAACAAAACCCCAAAACAAGAAACGGGACTCAAATGAGTCCAGCCAGGTAGGCATCCAGCCTCTTCTTAAAGACCCCCAGGGTAGGGGCCAGCACCACTTCCCTTGGAAGTTGGTTCCAGCTCCTAGCCGCCCTAACTGTGAAGTAGTT